CGCTGCCGCGTACGCAGTTTCCATGGGGACTGAAGATGGCTCCGCGAGGTGAGATTTCCGAGGTGTGTGTCTCTGGCCCCGATCCCTTTACCCCCGGACTCCCCACCCTTCTATCCCAGAGCTCGACCTAAGTAAGCCCTCTGTTCTCAAGCATTAGGGGCATCGCCCCGCACTTGTCCAAAGCGGGGCTTCGCAGCCCTGCTCCGAGTGCTTGAATGACTTAAGGTGTGGGATCTCAGCCCCAATTCCTTAGCTGGGCCTGTTTTTTTTAAATTAATTAATTAATTAATTTCATTTATTTGTTTGCTTGTTTGTTTGTTTTTAAATTTGACCAGAGAGAGAAAGAGAAAGTGACAAAGCAAACTGCCAGGTCCGGGACTCCAACCACCATCAGCCATGTGGGAGTCCAACACCTTAACCACCACACCACCCGCCGGGACTATTCTAAGCTGGTTCAGTTACAAATCTGGCCTTGAACATGCCAGGGCTACTGGTTTCTCTGCCTCTATTTGGCCTCCCAAATGGTTGAGATGCTTTTTAGCTGTAAAACCCCTTGACTGCCCCCCTACCCTGCCTCTTGCCAAGACGAAAGAGCCAGGTTTGATGGTTATTCTGGGGAAAGCAGAGGACTGAAGGAAACTCCCTGCCCACCAACCCCTCACTCCTGCCAGCCCTTTGTGAGCAATCAGAAATGCCCCTAGTGGCCCACAGCACTAGCTTTGGCATCTGTTTTCTTTAAGATACAGAACCTTAAAAGGAATAGAGATTGAGCTGCCCTTCCATCTAGCTACTCTTTTAAATTTTTTTTTTTAAGAGAGATTTTTGCTATAGGGCATGTGTACTCCCCAGAGCGACAGAGAGAGACAGAAAGCAAATCACCTCCTGGGAGGATGGCCACTCTTCTATCCCTTCTCCATTCTCCTCTTGGGATTTTGGGCATGCACATACATGTCCCTGGCATGAGTTTTAAGTTGCCAGGTCTGGGACTCGTACTGCGGTCCGCCATGTGGGAGTCCAGTGACATAACCATTATGCCATCTGCTGGTCTCCATCCCACTTCTTCAATATAAATATATATATATTTTTTTTTTTTTGAGAGGTTTTCGCTATAGGGCGCGTGTGCTCGCCAGACAGACAGAGCGAGACAGAGACAGAAAGTGAGAAATCACCCCCCAGGGGGGATGGTCACGCCGCAATCCCTTCTCCTCCATTCTCCTCTCGGGATCTTGGGCATGCACGCACACGCGCCTGGCGTGAGTTCCAAGCCACCGGGTCCGGGACGCGAACCGCGGTTGACTACGTGGGAGTCCAGCGACACAGCCATTACGCTAACTGCTGGTTCCCTCCATTCCACTTCTTTATGGTCATCTTTTCAGGTAAACGGTTGTCCTCCACCCCCCTGGAAATCCTTTTCTTTCTGAATGCATGGTATTATGCTACCTATTTCCTGTTGGAACTCTTCATATTTCTGTATAAAGGTAAGACTTGGGGCTTAACTATTTCTGCCTCAACATCCTTCCACACATTAGCCCAGAGCCAACTCCCACCACGAACCTCATTTTTCACTTTCCTGCTCCCTCACCCCCGCCGCAACTCTTCAATGCAAGGGAGAAGTCATTTTATCAGATGACTCCTTTGAGAATCATTCAGTAGGAAGCCCCTTAGCAAAACCTCCTTGAATTCGGGAACTAGAGGGTTCTCCATTCTGATTTTTCCCATCACTTCTCTTTGCTGAACACCTTAAACCTATTGGTGACCTTCAGAAACTATTCAGCAGACTGCATGCCCCACGTACATCCACTTCATTTTGAAGAGTGGACTTTTAGCATTAGGATTAAATTCCCCTAAGGAGCCTGCCTTGAATGGACGTGGCCACGCTGAGCTAACATGCTCTGCAGGTGTAATGATGCCCACATCTCCTTACCTACTTCGTGGAAAGCCAAGACTGACGTTCTCTTTATGCCCAAGTGTGTGGCGCTTCTCGTGGGTTCCGTCATCGGCTGTTGGTGAACGCTGGCTTTTGAGTTGGCAGGTCTCCTGCTACCGTATCCGACAGCCAACCTAGTGCTGGATGTGGTGATGCTCCTCCTCTATCTTGGAATCGAAGTAATTCGACTTTTTTTTGGTGAGTGCTATCCAGAGACATTTCTGTTCCTATGAGACAAGCTAGTATCTGTAACCTGATTAACGAGAAAAAGTAAATAACCTTGGCTACCAGATCTAGAGATTGGATCTGGTGGTATATCCGTTACTCCCTCTCCAAAGTTTCAAACTGGTGATTCATATACTGGGTCAAGATGTACCTTTTGTTGCTCTGCAGGGCAAAGGTGAGCAGTAGCATGGGATGTTAAATCATCCTTCCCAGTTGCCGGCCTGCTACAAAAGTGACTGTTCCTCTCATTTTATCAGAAGAGGTTGTTGTAATCTGGGTTTCGGGCAGTATATGCTTACACATGTCAACACTAAGATCCCCTCTATTTCCCTGAATAACAATCTCTTTAGGACAGACTTTAAAATTTCAGGACAGAGTGTGTGCATGTGCACTGAGAGAGAGACAGGGGCGGGGGGCACGCTCTCCATAGGATCTAGTCACACTGGGATCCCCTTCTTCCAGTCCACTAGCCCATGGAATCTTGGGCACTCATGTGTATGCCAAGAGTGTTCTAGGCCCACTGGGCCAAGAATTAGAACCGTGGTTGCCATGTGGGATCGAGTTTCTCTTGACCAGTGCATTACCAGTGCATTATACCACAGAGTTGGTTCCTTTAGGACAAAAAAAAAGTAAAAAATTTTTAAGTGATTGCTAGAGGGTGTGTGCATTCACCAGAGAGAGAAAGAGAGAGAGAGAGAAAGTTTCCCCCCAGTGGGTGTGGTCATGCTACAGTCCTTTTCTCCTCTACTTTCCTTCCCATCGGGAATCTGGGCACACTTGCACATGCATCTGGTGTGTTTTTTAAGCTGTCAGGGTGGAGACTAGAATTGAGGTTGACCATGTGGGATCTGGCTCTCAATACACAGCCCTCAACACTGTGATATGGGGCTAGCCCTAAGACAAGTTTTGACCACCCAGAAACAGAGTGAAATCCTGGTTATAATAGCTCATCCTGGGCCGGCTGGTGGCATGGTGGTTAAGGCAGCTGGATACCACATGGCTGATGGCAGTCTGAGTCACAGACCCAGCAGCTTGACAAACTCTCCAGGTGTGTGTGCATGGGTTCCCAAAATCCTGAAAGGAGAAAGGGAGGAGAAGGGATTATGGTGTGACTATTCTGGTGGGGTGGGTGTTTCTTTCTTCCCCTCTTTGTCTCTAGTGAGCATACACACCATCTGATAAACTTAAAAAAAAAATAGCTCATTTCTGAAGTCCAGCTTCATGTCCTAGTGATTAAGGAAGCTGGATCCCATATGACTGATCTCATGGTTTGAGTCCTGGACCATGCAACTTTGAAAACACACAATTCACATAAAATGGAGGGCCAGTAAACCTAAGATTTGCTAATAAAAAGCAGATTGAGGGCCAGTGGCATGGTGGTTAAGGCAGCTAGATCTCACATGGGCAACTGTGCAATTCAAGTCTTAGAACTGGCTGCTTGAAAAACAACCCAGGTTTGTGTGCGTGTGTGCACAAAATCATGAGAGGAGAATGGAAGACAAGGGATTGTGGCATGGCCATCCCCCTTGGGGTGAGTCCTCACTTTCCTTCTCTCTGTCTCTCTCTGGTGAGCGCCTGTGCCCTATTACAAAAATTTTTAAAAAATTAAATAAATAAAATTGAGGGCTAATAGGTCGTGTGGTGGTTAAGGCGTTTAGGTCTCACATGGCTGACTGCATAGTTCAAGCCCCAGACCGGGCAGCTTGAAAACACACTGGCTGCACATGCATGTGTACCTAGATTCCCTAGAGGAGAAAAAAATGAAGAAGGGATTGTGGTGTGGCCATCCTCCCTGGGCAGTGCTTTCTTACTTTACCTCTCTCTCTGCCCGTCTCTGGGGGAGCACATACCTTTAAAAAAAAGTAAATTTAAACAAGGTAAGATTTTTTTTTTTTTTCACCCACCAGACTGACAATGATAGAGATTTACAGGACCAGTCTAGTAGTGCAGCAGTTAAGTGCCCTAGCCTCCCAGTTAGCTACACTACAGTCACGTGCCACTGAGACCAGCCTGTCAGGTTGTCAGGAAAGTCAGGCATCATACCGTAAGTTGGCCTGGGAACCATACCTGGGCCTCCCCTACAGTCCAGCCTCATGAGGCGGTACAAGCTCTCCTGCTTGTACCATTGTGGCTGGGCTGGACAGGTATTTTTATACACCTTTAAGGGACTTTTGTAGTACAACTTTTTTGATAGTAGTTGTTTCCAGGTAAGTTTTGGTAATAGTCATTACCACTTAAGAAAATTCATATTTTTTCGGGACCAGCAGGTGGCATAGGTGGTTAAGGCAGAGGTGGTTAAGGCGCTGGATACTCCCACATGGTTGACCATGGGTTGAGTCTCAGACTGGCGGCTTGCTTTCTCACTCTCTCTCTCTCTGTGTCTCTCTCTGGTCAAATTAAAATAAATGAATGAGTAAATATAATGAAATAATTATTTTTTTAAAAAAACAGGGGACCAGAAGGTGGTGTGGTGGTTAAGGCACTGGACACTTCCCACATGGCCGACCAGAGTTCAAGTCCTGAATCTGGTGGCTTACTCTCTCACTTCCTCTCTCTCTCACTCTCACCCTCTGTCTCTCTTTGGTCCTCGGTCGGTCTTTGGTCAAACTAAAATTGAATAAATAAATACAATAAAATAAATATTATTAAAAAAAGATTTAAAATAAAAAAAAATTTTAAATTTATATATTTTTGAAAATTAATATTTTTAAACCCAGCAATTTCACTTCTAAAACTGTGTTAAGCAAACTTAACACGTGCACAAATTTGCAGAGCTATATGAGAACATTTATTGCCACAAATTTTGTAACATGAAAATATTAGATATCACTTGAACATCTGTCCATTCCTGTTTAGTTAAATGATGGCATTGGTTCAGTGGAATTGTACATAACCATTAAGAAAGGGGGGGAAGAGAGGTAGTTGTGTGTGTGAAGAATGTCTGTAGGAGGGACAGCCAGGTGGCATGGTGGTAAAGGCAGCTGGATCCTACATGGCACACTCTGAGATTCGAGTCCACATGGCAGCTTGAAAATATGCCAGACCCATGTGCATGTCTGCTCAAAATCCCAAGAGGAGAACGGAGGAGAAGGGACTGAGGTGTGCCCAACCATGTCCTATAGCCAAAAAAAAAAAAAAAGAGAAAAGTTGCAAAACCACGTAGAATATGGTTCTATTTTCAAAATAATAAGTAACAGTATGTAAGAATATGCATACAAAAAATCTAGAACCATTTATTTCCCTTCCAAATAAAGATCCATTGTCCCTTGAATGGTAGCAAAACTAGAAACAGGACCTCTGGAGTAAATGACTCCAATCTGTAACCCTCTGAAAACCTTGACTTTCTAGTGCAGTTGGACCCCTTTATAAACCTGCACACCCCTACTCAGGGATCATTTTCCTCTGCCGTGCCAGTCCATCACTTACCACCCACATTCCTGTGAGGCTAGGGAAAGCAGGCCACTGGGGAGTGACTGTACGGGCTGTGTCTAACAGGTACAAAGGGAAACCTCTGCCAACGAAAGATGCCACTTGGTATTAGTGTCGCCTTGACCTTCCCATCTGCCATGATGGCCTCCTATTACCTGCTGCTACAAACCTACGTGCTCCGCCTGGAAGCCATCATGAATAGCATCTTGCTCTTCTTCTGTGGCTCAGAGCTTCTGCTTGAGGTGCTCACTCTGGCCACTTTCTCCAGGTACTTCTGCTGAGGGACCGTGCCCCATCACTGGAGAGTTGGGTTCCCATTGCAGGGAGGGGCTGTTCTGAAACCTGAGGGTCCAGAAGGTTGTAAGGGATGAAGGGTGTCTTTGGGACTGCCTTTCCCATTTAGTATAGGTAGAAAGTTACCCACTTAGGGAAGATATTCCCTGTTCTTTGGGGCCAAGAAAATTGGAATATGGAACAGTTCATTCCAGCTGAACTTATTCAATGGTCTTTTAACATTTTCTTTCTTTCTTTCTGCCAGTATGGACAGGATTTGAAGTACGAAAATTTCAGCCAGCCAGCCCATCAGGCTGACACCACACATACCTCTGGTACTATAACCACGCCAGTGAAAAATAGCTGGTCAAGATGTCCTGGAAAAGGCAGTGCAGCTTTTCCTCAGCACGATATTTGGGCAACCAACCCAACCTAAGGCCATGGGTGCCATTTTCTAACCCAGGACCATGAGACTCATCTACATTCCAGTGTAGGAAGAGGCAAGGTATCCGTATCCTGGCCCTTCTCAGAACCAGTTCCCTGTTGACCTCCAGTTCTCCTCTTTGATCGTCAGAGCATCTTGTGTGGCCCATCCTGGTTCCTTGGGCTTCCAGCAGGACCTAAGCTGCGCACTCCCATGTATGTGCTGGGCCTCATCTGTCCAGCATGAGTACAGAGCGCTTCAGGGGGAGTGGCTTTCAGGATGCAAAAACCTCTTTCCTCAGCGACTCAGCTTCCAAACTTTTTTAGTAGCTCATAGTGTTATTTTTCTACTCTCATCATGTAACAAATGTTATTTTATAATAAATACGTATTTTCTGTGGTAGGGGTTGTAGCCTTTTCCTTATGGCACCTGTCCCTAGAATTTCACCCGCTATAAGAGAAGGTGGAAAGTATCCCAGCAGTTCTTCAGCTGTGCCTAGTGGTATTAGTGTATCAGCAGTGACAGTATTCTGATTTTTCTTTCCCAAGCTGCAGCCCGAATTAAATCCCTGAAGGTACTACCACCCTTTATGTTTTTCAGGTCTATCATCCTGAAGAAAGAATGTTTATATACTCCATTTCTATCCCAAAGTCACTCTTTGGTCTCCCAAAGAGTCATTTTGCCTCTTTTCCCTCTTACAGATAACTGTCAGCCCTGTTCCAGGGTGGGCTGTATGGAATTGGATGAAGCAGTCTAAACTTACTAAAACTTTAGTTTTGGCCACTTATTTTAAGGTTTTTGAGTTAATGTGAAAGGAACACATACTTTTTTTTTTTTTTGGAGAGATTTTTGCTATAGGGCGCGTGTGCTCGCCAGACAGAGACATAGAGACAGAAAGCGAGAAATCACCCCCCAGGGGGGATGGTCATGCCGCAATCCCTTCTCCTCGATTCTCCTCTCAGGTTCTTGGGCATGCACGCACACGAGCCCGGCGTGAGTTTTAAGCCACCAGGTCCGGGACGCGAACCGCAGTCAACTATGTGGAAGTCCAGCGACATAGCCATTACGCTAACTGCTGGTTCCCAAACACATACCTTTTTAAGCTGGAGAAGTACTGCCCTAGATAAGTGTATTTTCCTTTTTTACGTTACCATCTTAAAAGTGGTATGGTGGCCATGTTTTTTAGCACCAAGAAGCCTCCAGAAATCATGACAGAATCTACTTTAGCAAATGTGAAGGCCCATCTGTGTATTATCAGGTAAATGGTAGGGTATTTGCCCTTAATCAAAGTAAAAAGCAATTGACTTTTAAGTATTATGTGATGATTTTTATTTTTAATTTGCTAGAGGGTACATGTGCTTGCCAGAGAGAGAGAAAGCACCCCCCAGGGAGGATGGCCATACCACAATTCCTTCTCCATTCTCCTCTCAGGATTTTGGGCATGCACACAAGCCCAATGTTTTTTTCAAACCACCAGGTCCAGGACTAGAACTATGCAGTTGGCCATGCAGGATCCAGCTACCACTGGCTGGACCACTGCTTTTTTTTTTTTTTTTTTTTTTTCCATTAAAGGTTTTTGCTATAGAGTGAGTATGCTTGCTGCAGGGAGGGGAATTGTGCTCCCTAGGGAGTACGGACATGCTGCAGTCCTTATTTCTCCATTCTTTTGGGCATGCACACACAAGTGCCCAGTGTTTTTCAAGCTGCCAGATTTGGGAACCAAACCATTTAGCCACATGAGACTCAGTGCTTAACCACCACACTACCTGCTGGTCCCCACATGCTGGTTTTTAACTGTTTATTTTCTGTGATCAGACTCACTCTCATCCTGTGAAGGTCTCGCACTGTTAAAAGCACTGATCCTTGTTTCCTGACCCCATGTATACTTGCCTCTGAGCTGCCCTTGGGATCTATCCCAAGATTCCAACAGCCAGGTCTAATCAACCATGAAATAAAAAGTCCCACAGGAACTTCTCTGTTGTTTCAATTATAAATCCCACTAGTAACCAACTTCCTGCTGCTTCTCACACTGCTACTTTTTCTAGCCCTGCTTTGAAGTCACAAGCATCAAACTAGAAAGAAACCCACATTCCATGACCTCGCATTTCATTTAGAGGCTCCATCTAAGGTCAGTGTCACAGCAACAATAAGTGAATGAAAGGCACAGTTTGAAATTTAGAAGAGTTATAAAGTTGGGGGGCTGGCAGGTGGCATGGTGGTTAAGGGCACTGGACTCCTGCGTGACCAACTGTGGTTCAAATCCTGAACCTAAAGGCTTGCTTTCTCACTTTCCCTTTCTCTCTCTCTGTCCCTCTCTGTTCAAATTATAAATCATTCTTTAAAAAAAGAGTTATAAAATGGAAATGTTAGAACTCAAAAGGACTTAAGGGATCAAGTAAGTTTAATCCTCCACTCTGCAGACATAGGTGAGGAAGTAACGTAGCCAGCACCACACAACTGGTTACTAACAGGTACTACTAGAAACCTTGTCTTAAGTCTCAGTCTGGATCAAGTAAATTCCATTTCTTGGGCCTGGCAGGTGGCATGGTAGCTAAAGGCACTGGATTCCCACATGGCCAACTGCAGTTTGAGTCCTGGACCTGGTGGCTTGCTTTCTCGTGTTCCCATTCTCTCTGGTCAAAAAATTAAAAACGTAACAACAGATGGAATTATATAAATAAATTCTTTTAAAAATATCCATTTCTCAACAGGACTCACTTGAGAATGAGAATATTAGTTGAAAATAAGGATGGGACCAGTCCTATGGCCTCATAGTTAAGGGAGCAGGATCTCTATGGCCAACCATGGTAGTTTATTTACCCCAGCCCTGGCAGCCTGAGAAAAATACCAGACGTGACCCTAATCCTGACAGGATGGAGAAACGGAGAAAGGGCTCTAGCACGACTGTGCCTTGTGGAGTGCTTTCTCTTCCTTCCTGTCACTGCACCCTCTGGCAATGAAAAATAAAATAGCATGAGTAGGAATACGAAGTCCTTTCATTTACTTCATTCTTAGGTGGAAGCTTAGTGCTTTGCGTTTCCCATGGATGGCTCCATTAACATTCTTTCTTCTGATGTAGTTGGTGCCACCTGGGTCCATGAAGTGTCAGATCAGGGTAGAACATCTTCCAGCAGAAACGGAGGTTGTAGAAGATGAGAATCAGTGTAGCCAGAGGCTATGCTCACTACAATGCAAAATAAGCCACTTTATAGACCATACCGACCTGGAAGAACCACTGTTCTGAGACAGGGTGGAAAACCGACCACAAGAGCGCCCTGGTTACATGAACTCGCAGAGGCCTGTTCAGTACTCACACTCGTGGCTAGAACTGGCGCGTGACTGCAGCAGCCATCTCCATTGGCTGAGGTCTGGCCCAGTGCAGCAAGCATTTAGGACATACAGATTCAGGTTTCTGGCTCCAGACCATGGCAGCAACTCGTAGGAGACTAATATTCATCCAGTGCCTGGCAGAGGATATTTAATCCATACAATGACCCTATGAGGCAGAAAGAAATCAGCTCAGATGCTGAGTCACGTGTCCAAGGGCATTCAGCTTAGAAAGAGTTGGGATGTGAACCTACAAGTAACCCAAGTAGTTTCTACACAACCACGGTACCTCCTAAGCTGAAACAGAATAGCTCTAAGCTAGCAGTCCTCACACTTCAGTTTACACAAGTTACCTGGGACATAAAAAGCAGATTCCTAGACCTTAAGTAGAGGTTGATGCAGCCCAGGAACAGGCATGCTAGCAAGTACGACAGGTAACAATGCAGGTGGTCATGGAACCCAACTTGGAAACACTGGTTTAGTTTTGAAGTTTATTTCTTCCATGAGTGCTAAGAGACAGGGGGACATAGAGCGCCGATAGTCTCACCACCACATGCAGCCCTGGATCACAGGCATGTGTGAACGTGGAGCCCTCTGAAATCAGAGGGCTGTGTCATGCTTTATCAATCACATCACTGTCTACCTCTCTACCCCTGCAAAAAAGCCCTCCAATACACTGGTTTAAATCTGAGAGGCACTCCAACTATTTAATATTTTTTCTTCCTCTTTAAGTTTAACATCATTAAAGACCCTTTACAGAAATTTTCCTTCTTCTAAAGGTTGTTTTTACACTTCTCTTTTCTGGTACCAATATCCATTATCATCTGGCCTCTGGCTCATTTTTGATCATTTATCATTCGCTGAGTTTTTTGAGTTTTTGCTATAGGGTGTGTGCACTCACCAGAGAGACAGAGACAGCGAGAAATCACCCCGGGGGGGGGGGCACACCGCAATCCCCCTCCCTCCACTCTCCTCTCAGGATCTTGGGCACGCACACACGCGCCGGTGTGAGTTTAAGCCACCGGGTCCAGGACTTGAACCATGGTAGGCTACATGCAAGCTCAGCGACAGCCATTATGCTAACTGCTGGTCCCTTCACTTAGCTTTTTTAAAAAGGGTTATTTTTTTGGAATCCCAAGATCATACAATAGCTTTCTTGAACTGTACAAGGTAGAAAATTTGGTCCACAAGGGTTTGTACAAAGGAATTATGAAGGGTAAAATATGACTTGGAAGTTTTCTTTTAACCAGACTGTTTAGATGGCTAAGGAAAAAAGTTAAACCTCAAGGGAAGCTTCCAAAAGTTTGCACTAGAAGTCTTCCAAGAGGCCTACCACACTCAACTACAGCCATAGAAAAATAATTTCCCAACACATTCTTCCAGCTAACAGCTTGGGCTTTACTACCATCCCGCAGCTACATCAGCCCGTGCCCACACCCGACACCTCAACAAATCTATTCAATGCAGAATCCATAAAACAGCTCACACCCCATTTATTATTTAAAAATATTTTGTTACAAAAGGAAAAAAATACAATGCAGTATAAAAGATTGACAGCGTCATCAAGTTTATTACACAATTTCAACCTATCAGAAAGACAAACAAATCACCGACAACAGGGGGACGGGGGCCTTGGCCTTTTTGAGGGTTGGGGTTTTTTTTTTTTCCCTTTTGCTATCAGGAAATAAAACTAAAAATTGTGTCATTGAGTAAAAACAAAACAAAAATGGGAAGAAAATTTCTCCGGGCAAACGGCTTTTCTGGTATTCTATATATTTTTCTTCTTTTAACTGTCACCTTACTTGCTTTTCTCTACATTTTAAAAAGACACCCGGAGCTGCTCTTGAGGATAAGCACATCACTTAACACTTGGCCAGTTGGGCAGGGTGCCATATTCTGAAGAGGTGGTGGGGATGAGTTTCAGGGACAGGGGGGAAATAAAAGCTACAACTGTAGCCTCTGTCCCAAGGGAATGTGCCTCTCCAACCCTGGGGGGGGGGGTGTCCCTCAGTGACTGAGGGCTGTGTCAGAAACGTGCTGGGAACAGAGAGAGGGTTCACTCCAATTCAGTCTTTCCCCTCCGAGCCAGAAGGGTCTCCAGTGACCCTATGTCCCACACGCCAAGTCTCTTCTCATGTTAGATGTCACATGCCCTGTAGATGCATGCAGAAGTGGCATCACCCATGGTTACTGCAAGACAGTGCTGCTGCCTCCTCCTCTAGCAGCAACCACAACACAATTTGGGATGTTACAGGAAAAGCAATTCCATTTGCCTGTGTAGAAAATGGCCCCCAGAGTGCTGGTCCTTAGAACTCTGAGCTGAGTTCATTCAAGTCAGGCTCCCTTTCTTCCTTGCTCCTTCCTTATCAGAGGCAGAAAGTACCTCCAGACAGAGCAAGAGGAGCTAGTAAGTTAATAGTCAAAAGGTGGAAAGACACCAAATATGTGATTTTACCTGCCTACTACTGCCAGGTTCCCACAGTAAGTATGTACCTGGGGAATGCAAGCCCACACTTACATCAAACCTGGAAAAAGAAAAGTACGGAAGTAGGCCATCTGCCCAACTTGCCTCCTTCCCCACTCCTCCTGATACTTCACAAGAATTCTTTGTTGCTGAGGTCCCAATATCCCATCTCCCAGTGGCAATACCTTCCTCTAAAACAAGGAAGCAGCCTTTTAGGGGGGAAGGGCTCCATGTGTTAAACAGAGAAGCCCCAGGGAAAGGGAACACCTAACAGAGCTGGTTATTGCAAGAAGCAACCAAGCATTAAGCAGCAGAGGGTGGTAATTGGCTCTGTCAGGCTTCCCAACAGAAAGTAACCTCATGGGCCTTCTTCTCTGCTGAGGAGGGGCAAGTCCATTGAGGCCGGACAGCAAGAGTTGAAAGGGTTCAGCCCTCTAGGAGGTCAGAAAAATAAACCGTCAATATGTGAGAAGGAAATCAAGAACAAAACAAACCTTTTGTAAGGCAGATCTGTTCTCATGGCCCCCTCCTCAAAGGGCGGGGAAGGTAAAGGAGTTAAACAAAGAAGTGGTATGTTAGCAAGGAGTTTGGACCCTCTTGGCCCCAATAAATCTAGTGCTGCGGGCAGGACCTTGGGCATATTTTGGCACACCCAGTTACTCTCCCAGATCCCGCACAGAGGATCTATCTTCTTCGGGAAGAAAGTCTTCCCATCGACCTCACCAGTGACCTGCTCCTGGAGAATGAAAAACTCCTACGTTGCCTTGGACAAAGCACCATTCTCTATGGAGACCAGGGGTCTGGACACGTTTTTCCCTGTCTGCCACCCTTCACCACACACAGTCTTTAGGTTCTTTCCCCTGGTAAACAGGAGGTGTGGGATGGGGAGGGCTGCCAAGCAATCTTCAATCCCGTAGGGCAGAGGGCATTCCCTGGGTGTCTGGATAAAGTAGGGAGTTTGGAGGAAGGGGTAGGGGTGGAGCGGCCTCCGTCCTTTAGTCCTGATCAAGGTGAGGAGATGCAAGTCCTTTAAAAAAAATTTTGCTTCCAACCAGACTCCTGCAATGAGAACATCAGAAGAGAAGAAAGAAAACACAAGTTAGAGGTTACTTTCTGATTGACAAGGGGCCTGCATGAAATACACTGACATTTTCTAAGGTTGTAACGTAAGAGGTAGGAGATACAGACAGACAGAATGGAAGCCTGGGGAAGTAAAGGAAAGCCGGGTTGTCTGACACTGTGAGCAGTGGTAAGAGATTGGTTAGAGGAAAGGCTACATTGAGCAGAAAGAAAAAAGCAGTGACATCTTTAAGGTTAGAGGAAAAACACACAATGAAATGAGGTCCCTCAAAGCAATTGATAGAAAAGGAGATTTTGGCTGGAAAAGTATGGAAATTATAACATTTCAAGAAAAGATGCTACAACAGAACATGATGTGTTTAAATATTGTTCCAGAAAAATCTACTCTGAGCAAATTATAGCTTACCTTAAAGAGGGGGAAAAATCTGGAATGGGAGGTACAATAATAAGAAAACAAGTGTGCACATAACCAAATCCATTAACAACCCAAATACTATGAGGTCTACTGAGGAGCATGTACTTACATAGGAAAGTTTTAGATGTTTCTCTTAAAGATGCCATGCAAACAGTGTCCTTACAAGTATATGCGTGCGTGTACACACACACACACAGCGTTGGACATTTTCCAAGTTGTATTAAAACCCAAAAAATTCAGGAACCAGCAGTTAGCGTAATGGCTATGTCACTGGACTCCCACGTAGCTGACCGCAGTTCACGTCTCAGACCTGGTGGCTTAAAACTCACGGCGGGCACATGTGCCCAAGATCCAGAGAGGAGAATAGAGGAGAAGGGATTGCGGCATGACCATCCCCTCTGGGGGGTGATTTCTCACTTTCTGTCTGTCTGTCTCTGTCCATCTGGTGAGTGCACGCGCCCTGTAGCAAAAACCTCTCCAAAAAAAAAAAAAAACTCAAAAAATTCTAAGTCTTCCCCTAGATGACCAGTTGGA